TGACATTGGTTCATAATAATACACAATTGAGTTTTAACTCTTTATTTCTTCTCTTCCCTTTAGTTTTTATAACATTCTCAATTTTCTTTTTGACATATTATTTGTATGTAAATCATTATATAATTTCACTAAGTACAAGTAGCATTATTAATTGTTCAATAAGAGAGAGAAAGAGAGGATTTTGAATACTTAAGGTCACTACAACAAAAGTGGGGTTTTACGGTATGAATTTACGGCATGCCGTTAAAGACGACTATTTACGGCATGCGCTATATGTATGCTGTAAAAAATCATTAACTTGACGTATTGATGGCGTGCATTGTGCACGCCGTAAAATGTGAATTTTTACGGCGTTCTTTTAGGGTATACTATGTGTATTGAAAAAAGTGGACCATTTATGCATGCCGTAAAAGATGGAAAACGACGTGCATCGTGAATGAAATAGATGCACGCTGTAAAAGATTAAAAAACGACGGTCGTGGACGGCATGTATTGCACGCTATAAAAAGTAATATTTTTTTACAGCGTGGCTTTATACGGCCTGCGGTCGCACGACTTAAAGAGATTTTTACGGCATGCATTGCACGCCGTAAAAAGTCTATTCTGTTGTAGTGGGTTTAATATATAGTTTTCACTACGTTCGTAAAGCACTCCATTGCCATTCATATGTGAAGTAAGATGCCATCTAGCTTCTTAATTGGAGTTGGTCTCCTAGTTTCAGTGGTTGTGATCGATATGTTTGTACGAAATTATTTGTCCGTGTACCATTTGCAAAATGAGATGTCGATCAAGAATTTGCGATTGACCTATTTGTGTAAAATTATGCCATTTTCAGGAATTTCTTTTTTTGGGCTGTAAAAGTTTGATTACTTTGACCAAGATTCAATTTTCTCCTCCTTCAATATTGATTTGGTACCCTAGTCATTGAGTGCTGTTTGGCTTTACCTTTTTTCAGCTTTATGATGACATTAAAAATTATAATACAACTTTAGTTTGGTCATTTAAGGGAAGCAAATGATGAACTCATTTGTGTTCATATTATTTTGTTGAGATGCTTTATTCTTTACAATTCTATTTTGGGCATCCCATCAACTTTTCTTGAATATTTAAATGAAGATATTGGTTTTATTATACATCCGACACAAAATAACCTAATGTGTCCCATGGATCGATATGATGGATGTGACTTTAATTAATTAACACACGTTTTATTTTTTTGAGACATTAATATGTACGAATATAATAAAATTGGATTTTGCTAGAAAAATAGGGGACTGTAAGCCCCTTGACGGAACCCCACTCACGAGGGGGTCCCGTGTGAAAAAAAATGAGACCCCCACTTATGGGTGGGTTTCGATCAAAGGGGCTGTCAGCCCCCTGTTTTTCTAGCAAAATCCAATAAAATCTAAGTGTAATATCTCAAAGAGGAAAAGAAAGACTAAATTATATGGTCGGTTCATAACAACATATTGAATGTAGTAGAGAAAAAAGATTTATATATATTTAATTTCAATATAGAATAAAGCTCTATGTGAATTTTGAATAAATAAAATTGTCGTGTGGATTGCTTGGACGTAGTAATCTTGGAATAGTTTCAATCCCTTCCTAGGCATAGTCTTGTAAAATTGTAGTCACAAGTGCTTGATCTATCGAGAAGTTTAAAACTCGACATGACCCACTCTTTTTGATAGACTCGATCAATTTGGACCTATCTAAACAGATATGAGCTCCATCGTGGCTCGTGTTGAGCCGAGCCTTTTTATTTTATCATTATTTTAATAAATGAAAACAACATAGTGAAAAGCAATCCCAACAAAATTTTACAATTCTAAGTTTGAAATTTGAGCATTTGGTATCTCATTGTAGAGCCCACTTGGAGGAATTTTAAGGCCTCTGGAGTATGAACAAAAGTCGAATTTGTTGTTGAAAATAAATAAATTTATGTGCCATAAAGTCTTGACAAGAATAAGTTAGTTTTTCAAATTAATTGATACATATTGACAAAAGCATTCATTAAACTTTATGACATTTAATTTTCATTATGTTCACTTTTATTCTCAATAAAAAATAATGTAAATTAAAGCTTCAAAAATATGGTGAATTTCTTAAAAGTTTTTGTAGTATTTTAACTAAAATAAAAAATTAAAAAGATTATACTTGAAAGGGAGAAAAAAAAATCTTTTTCCAAGTGACTATTTATATTCGTTGGATATCAACCACTCAACTATCTCTCCTAAAGATAAATTTTATTTTATTTACCACGAATAGAATATGACCATATAGGTGGATTGGTATCGTATAGAAAGGGGAATGACTCGATTATCCCACTTAACCGAGCACAACTCATTACTATTATTATTATTATTATTATTATTATTATTATTATTATTATTATTATTATTATTATTATTATTATTATTATTATTATTATTATCATCATCATGATCATGATCATGATCATCATCATCGTTTAATCATTAAACACTAAAATCTAATAAGAATTTACATTTTTTTTTTAGCCTTAATTGGGTCGAACATGTGATGACTCCCGCTTTTTTGGCTGAATCAGTTGGTTCAGTTCGATTTTCATAGCATTGACAAGAACAATAAATCCCAACTAATACCTATCCTTGTTAATTATCCCGATACATATTGAACACACCATGATTTCTAAGAATTGTGGATATAAATTGCCAACTCGTCACTATATCACAAATAGCTAATATCTCAACTAAAATAAATTTTAAGACTGTACCATTTTTTTTTCTTTAAAAGAAAAAGTATACAATAAAGACATTATAAGCACATAAAAAATTTCCAAACATTTAAAAGTATTTTGAATCGAGATTAAAAACACAATTATAAGTAGTTTGACCTAGTTCTACTACAAAATTCATGTGTATAATGATGCAAATTGGCATTTGTGTGGTGCATGATTTAAGGAATCCTCATATTCCTAAAGCAACTGTTTTGGGTCCCATGTGTTCTAATTGTTACACAAGAAGAGCATATATAATTTTTTGAGAAATGCTATTCGTACAGACTCATTTGCACAGAGTTTGTACAGATGCTCTCACATGGGAATGGACACATGAGGTCCACCCCCATGTGAGAGGCCCTGTACAGACCCTGTGCTAATGGGTCTGTACAAAGAGTTTATTCCTAGTTTTTTTAGTATTGAGAGAAAACATGGGAAGGATTGGACATCAAAATCATTAATCATGTTGAAATGAACAAAATCTCCCTTGTCTTTATTTTTTAATTTTGTACAATTTTGTCACGTTAAAGGTACTGTAAGCGGTCGTAGAGAATTCGCTTGAATCGCATTTTAAAAAGAATCCATTGATTTTTTATACATATTTTTTAAATGATTATCAAGTGTACTCATTTCAAATTTCAGTTCAATCAATTTATCGATGTATCATAATATATTTAAAAATTGTATAGATTTGAGGTATTTCAAGGTTTTTAGTATTGATTCATTTTTGTGTATGTGAATCCTTCCGAACTCACATCTTTTTGAAAGAACTTTTGAAATTATTTAGGAATATAGATGAGATAAAAACCTAAGAAGAAAAATAGCTATATTAATAAATCTATCAATTCTTTTATTTAATTCTATACAACTTATCCTAAAAAAAATAGTTTACAAGCTTACCCTCAAATATTAAGTTGAATTCAAATATCAAAAACTCATAAAAGTATAAGTAGCTCAAAATACTTAATTTTTTTTAATTATTAGAGCAATCAAAATAATAGAAATTCACCATAGAGAAATCTTATATAAAATAAAAATAAATTAAAACAACTAGCAGAAGGGGTGGTGGCGCAGTTGGCTAGCGCGTAGGTCTCATAGCTACTGAGTGATCCTGAGGTCGAGAGTTCGAGCCTCTCTCACCCCATTACTTTTTAATATTTACATAATTCTTACTTGATAAAATTACTTCTAAATATATATTTGCTTCTTCTTGCACCAAAAGTATAATATTTTGGAATATTATTTATTCATGATTGGCTAAGCTTAAAGAAGCCAAGATATTTCAAAGTAACTTGATGTCTCGCTACGAAAATAAGTAACTTTGACCAATTAAAAATAATAATTCATTTTGAAACTTGTTCACTTGTGCAAGTAAATTTTTAAGCTTTGCAAAAAATTCTCCATTACTTGTATGATATGACAAGTTGATTTATTAATGATTTAATTCTAATTAGTATCTAATTTTTGGAACCATTATTTCCCCAAATTCAGCAGCAGCGAGATGTTATTGTCTTAGGAACTAGAACTAGGAAAATTATTGAATTCCCAACCATTCAAATTTGCAACATCTTGATTCTTATTGGACAAATTTCGTTTATACTAAAGTCAAGATGTCAAAATTTAGTTAAAAAATAATTATAAACTTATTTTCAATCAAACAAAATAAAGACAAGAAATTTAGAAAAACCAACTTCGTGAGCCTAGTCGAACGATAGTGGAAGGTTGATGTAGGTACGAAACCAAGGTATGAGATGGAATCGATTGTACTACATGCACATCACAATTTATAGATTTGTTTACTGGCAGATAAAATAGCGAGATTTAATTGATTCAAAATCTCACCAACCAAATAAAAATAAATAAATTCCCCACTATCTTTTTGCCACCTCATCTATCATTAAAAGAATCTGTAAATGGTGATGTACAATAACCATTTTCCGAGATTTTTACTTCTATCCAAAGAAAAGAGACCATCAGACAAAAAGAAAAGTTTTTACTACTTCTAATAAAATAGCAACATCAAGATATTTAGGGTGCGGTAGGTTTGCCGTTTTCGGGCCATTTTTCGTTTTCCGTTTTCGAAAATGCGGAAAACGCATTTGGTCCATCATTTTCGAAAACGCATTGTTAAAATTTATAATTGAAAACGCAAAACGACTTTTTATCGTTTTGAGCATTTTCAGTTATAAAATGCCAAAAACTTCAAAACGCGAAAAACATGCCGTTTTCGGGGAAAACTAAAAATCGTTTTGAAAATGAAAATGGAAACCAACTGCTACCTTAGTTACCAAAAATAATATAAACACGAAACGATTGAATGTGCTTTGCCATCCAAGGAAAAAATTTGTACCACGCCTGCAATTAACATGGGAAAGCCAATGTCACATTGAAGTTTGAAGACACAATTTCAAGAACTTACAACAGTAAGGGTCATACATTTTGAACAATGGTAACCAAAATTAGTTTAGCACTTGGGCTTTCGACCTTATATCAATAGTTTCCCTCTCCAAAATACGAAGTTTGAACAATCCATTGATGACCGGTGACGGAAAAAGAACAAGATTTTGATGAAATGGTAGGCTAATATGAAAATTTGACTCCTGATGATTCTTCAGTTCTTGCACCGGAAGAGCATATTGGGCGAAGCTTAAAATTTCTTGTTAGTTACTTTCAAGCAAAAAAATTATTTATCTTGAAAGTATTTCTTACCTTACTATTAAAATAAGTAGCTTATTATCAACTTTGACACACAATACTCCCAAATGCTTATGGAAGAGTTGTCTCCCATTGAAATCTTAAATCCTTGAATCATCAAAGAGTTTTTGTAACAAGAAATTTTCCATGGTCACAGCAGTTGGGATTCACTCAGAAACTTCAAGAGACATTGAATTCTTGAAATAAGTTTGAATTTAAATTTGAACTGAAAGAATTTGGATCGGATTCCTGGATAATTTAGATCACTCTTTTCAGTCAAGGAAAACCTCCCCCAACCAGCAAAAGAAACATTGAAGAAACTTTTAAAGATGAAGTTATATGTGAAACCAAAGCGAAAAAAGGGGATTCAAAAATAATCAATTGCATAAACAAGAGTAAAATTTTCAGTGAGATACATACTCAATACTGTTGTGAAGGCAAAGCCGAGTACCCATCCACTGGATTTGAAGGGAAGAAATTTCGCCATCCTTTGGTTTTGCAAAGGCACAAGGTTCGCATTTCTTCCGCTGAGAAGTTCCCATGGTAAAACTAGTATGTCCAGTCTCATTTCAGATCCAGGCAATCTAGATTAAATATTAAACCTGAGTTGTTTCAGTATCCGATCCAGCAATCATGTAACATCCCTGAATTAGCAGTTGAACACACTACCTACTAATGTCCTTTATTCCTTGTTAGATTAGGGCTGGAATAAATTCTTCCCTTACGGCCACAGAATTGGGTTGGTTTACAATCTCTACGTGAAATACCAAGATCGATGGTCATCAATTGCTACAAGTTAGCAAATATCAAGCATTGGGTACAAGCCCAGTAACTTTGAACAGCTGTGAATAGTACCTGAAATACTGGTGCACAAGGGGGTATAACCCATAGATTACCAGTAGTCTCCACAAGAGCATAATCCATCTTTAAAATGATGAAAACGATTCACATCCCTCACAATTATCTCTCGTCCATATATTTTTGAAATGAATTTGATTGCTGTGTGACAATCTCCACAAATTCTAAGATTCTTGGTAATTCGGAGAACTGTGGCAGGGCTTGTATTGAGAAGCCCAAAGGCAATCGCCAATTTCTCGCTGTGTGTTGTAAGGGTATACACTTTCTCCTCTTCACTGATATCATGCAATGCAAAGCTAGTATCTGGTACATAACCAGCCGCCTTAATCTTCTCAGGCAGTTCTTCCAATAGCTTGTAAATTTCCTTGTATTGTGGATGGGATGTATCTCCTCCAAGAAACAAATGAGCTTTCCCATTGATCTCAATCCAACTGCAACCAGGATTTTTCTTTACGCCCTGTGATTTCAAAAGAGCCCTTAAATGATTAACTTCTTCCCACATATTAGCTTCAGCATACATATTTGAGAGAACAACATAGTTTCCACTGTTATCTGGTTCTAAAACAAACAACTTTTTAGCAGCTAACTCAGCTATCTCCAGATTGCGATGACTTCTACTTGCAGCCAGTAAGGAGCCCCAGATGCTTGCACCTGCTAGCATTGGCATCCGAGAAATGAGGTTATAGGCTTTCACTAATTGCCCAGTACGGCCCAAAAGATCTATGACACAAGCATAATGTTCATGTTTTGGTTCCACAAAGTACATTGTACTCATAGAGTCAAAATATTTTAACCCCACATCCACAAGACCAGAATGACTACATCCTGATAACAATCCAGTAAATGTAATGCCATCAGGCCTAAGCCCAGCTCTTATCATATCCTCAAATGTCGAAACTGCCTCCAAACCATGCCCATGAGAAGAATAAGCAGATATCATTGTATTCCAAGCAACCAAATTCCTGTCATTCAATTTTATTCTATTAAAGCACCAACTTGCATCAGCCAAACTGCCACATTTTGCATACATACCCATAAGCGCCGTTTGCACTGAAGGATGAGAGTCCAAACTCTTCTCCCTAGCAAAAGCATGAATCTTCCTCCCTCGATCAAGTGCAGCCGAGTGCGCACATGCAGGCAAAACACTCATAACTGTCACCCAATTAGGCTTCACCTCTGAGTCCTCACTCAACATCTCATCAAACAATCTCAATGCCTCGTCTACCAACCCATTCTGTGTGTACCCTGAAATCATACTAGTCCACGACACAATATTCTTTTTAGGCATATTCTCAAACAATTCTTTAGCCAAATCAACAACCCCATCTCTCATATACCCTGAAATCAATGTGTTCCAAGATGACACATCCCTAAGAGGCATTACATCAAACAATTTATGCGCATCTCCTAATTCACCACATTTCACATACATATCAATCAGTGAAGTCCCTACATATATATCAAACTCCAACCCATCTTTTAAACTCGATCCATGAATGCATTTCCCGAACTGAACATAATATAGGTCCGTAACAGACTTCAAAACAAACGGATAAGTAAAATTATCCCCGCGCAAACTTAAAGAATGCATACGCGCGTACATGTGTATTGTCTTCTCAGATAATTTATACAAACTAAATGCACGAATAATTGAATTAAACAAAAGGGGAGATGGACTTGCAGTGGCGTGGAAAATGTATGAGGCGGAGGAAATGTCCCCGGAGCTAGCATACATGGCGACCATTTTGGCAGCAAGGAAAGCAGTAGGGCGGAGGCCGCGAAGGGCCATGTGAGCATGCATTTGTTGGCCTTGCTTGAGGAGGTTTTTGCCAGTCAAGAACTGGAAAATGGGTGCATACGTAGAAGCTAGAACTGGGGCTTGAGGATTGAGAAGAGGTTGTAGAAAGGTATTTAGCTTTGGGCTTTGAGAACTTCGTTGGTTCATTTCATGGACACTTTGACTGTGTGTGTGGTGGTGGGTTGGCGGAGAAAGTTGCGGAAAAGCAATGTTTTTGTTCTGCACTTCCAGTCATTCTCAAAGCATTACACAAAACTTCGCCGCCATTTTTCCCTTTCTTGAATCTTTAGCACATTTAGGATTTAGGACTGGACCCCAACCATTTCTTACATCCCAAGTTCGATTGTCTTTACTTTATTTACTTTAATTTAATTTTTATGATAATTTCTAATTACACATTTGAATAAGAAAGTAATCAACAACCAGACAGCTCATATCTACACCGGGCGAAACTATTTCGGTTAGTTTTCTCGCACAAATTTGTAATTTTTGTTGTTAATCAATTGAATTTTTTTACATTTATTCGGTTTGATACTAGCATGAGTAGCTAGATTGTGTGGTGCTTGGGTGAAAAATGTGAATTTTTTGGACCTCTTATCGTCGAAAATGGCGATTTTCGACGAAGAGAGGAATACATTGACTGTAAATAGTCTCACTGACCCGACTGTGAACATTTGATTTTTTTTAAAAATATATATATATATATTTAATTTTTAAATGTTTTGAAATATATTTTATAATTAATTTATTTTTTTATTTGATTAAAATTATTTATTTATTTATTTTTTATAATTGTCTTTTATTTATATAATTTAATAAATGAATATTATCTAAAATTAACAATTTATTTTGTTCCTTTTTTTATGAAATAATCGTTGATTTTGTTTCCTAATTTATTTAAATAATATTATTCTTTAATTTTTTTTAAAATGTATTTAATTTTAAATTTTTTTTGAAACAAGATTAATTTTCTTTATAATTTTAATTTGATTAAATAATAATTATGTTATTTATTTATTTAATTTTTATATTCTTTAATTTTTTAAAATTTATTTTAATAATATTTATATTCTTTAATTTTTTTTGAAAATATATTTAATCTTTAATTTTTTATTTTTTTGTATTCTTTAAATATTAATAATTTTCTTTTGTTGAAAATCTCATTAATTTGTATTTTAATTTAATTAATTATTTTTTACATTTGTATTGAATTTTTTTTTTGCTATTAGCGTCAATGTTTTGCGTATTGTATGATAGTTAGAATTCGATTCCCCTAATTTTTTGAAATTATGCGTTATTTTATTATCTCTTATTCAATATTCTAACGTTTGAATTTTTGCAGGATGGAGTGTCATTTAGATGGGGAGTTGAGATGGATGGCGGGCAAAGTTACTGGAGTTTTACTGCTGTGTTGGAGCTGCTCGATAATCAATACAGAGATATGCTTCGACAGTCCTTCTTTTGGCCACCGTAACAGATGCGAGAAGTGCAGTACTCAGGACATATCATCAATGCACTTTTATGTCGGCTTCTGAGGTCAGTCGACGGCGATTCCCTCCACTTCGACCTCGGGGGCAAGGTCATCAATTTCTCGATGTACAAGTTTAGCTTGATCACTGGATTGAGGATTACAGGCAATGATGCAGCCATTGAGAGAAGCAATAGGTTGTACGAGACGTACTTTAAGGGACATGGATCGGTGCTTCTACCCGAGTTGATGGTCGCGATCAGGGGGTGCGACCAGATGCCAGATAGATTGAAGCTTAGGCTGGTCTACATCCTTGAGAGTGTGATGAGGTGTCATCACAAGAAAACTGTTATCGACATTTTTCATTTGCAAGTTGTTGACGACATCGATGCGTTCAACAACTATCCATGGAGCCGGAGATGTTACGAAGATACCGTACATGTCTTCACCAGATCACACTCGAGGCTCAGGGGGTCAATGCGTAAATATGATACATATGGATTGCTCTTAGCAGCGCAGGTAAATGTTTAATAAAATCAAAGTTAAAGTTTTAGTATATTACATTTATGCATAATAATTGTATGTGTTGCAGATTTAGGTGTATGAGGCAGTCCTTGCATTGGGGGCCCGCTTTGCGAAGCGAGGGGAGACACGATGCCCTCGAATGCATTAATGAAGATCATCGCGAGCGGACGGATGTCCCATTGGGAAACAGTTATCGGCCTTCCTCGACGATCCTCAAATAAGTATTATGCATTTGTAATTTATATTATACGTAATTTAAAATCCATTAACATGATCGTTAACTAGTTGAAATGTCAATATATCAACTTGAAGTCATACCTAAGTTGTAATACTCCGAAATTCTATGCTCGTTTAATTTGCTCATTTAATTTTTAGGATAGCAATTTAACTTTTCAAAATTTAGTAT